ATATGCATGCATGAATTTTAATTTAATTAAGAAGTGAGAAAATCACAAATAATCAATAACTCGTATTTTAAAATAAATATTTATAATTTGAGAACATAATTTTTTGTTTACAACATAGTTTTTTTGCTTTTCGTTCTTCATTCTTTTTTTTGTTGAAAGAAGCTGATTGACATTAATGATATTTCATCTTTTATTTATGAAATAATTTTAGTTTAAGTTTTCAAAAAATTTTCCTTAGATTAGGTTTAAGCCAAATGAAAGAATTTCAAAAATTTATATTTCATAAATAAAAGTGAATCCAGTCGAGTCACTGATGCTTAGTTCAATCTTGAATTTTTTACATGGAAATTAAGTTAAATCAACAATTTCTATAAAATTTATTTAGGCAAATATCTAAAAATTTTTTATTGATTTTATTTCATCAATAATTTGAAGTTATTTTACTCAATATTGTGTTATATGAGTTAGTAAAAAAATAATGACTTAAATAAAATAACGACTTAAATATTTGCAATTTAACAGGACTATAATGAAATATGCATTGCAGTTTGCTATTTCATTTAAAGTGATTCTATGAGAGTTCTTATTAAAATCTAAATAGCAGTAGGGAATTAAAGTTAGACCAAATTAGTTTCGTATGTTATTTTTTTTCAAAATTCACGCAAATATTTTTTGCAACATGTGTTAAAAGGGAATGTTCGATTTCAATAAAAACTTTTTTTGCTTTCTCTTTTGTATCAAAAAATAGCAAGGAACTCAAAAAAACATTTTTTTTGTTGATGAAAAATAAATCAATAAATCCTAGAATTTTAAAAAACCTAAATTAAATTCCGTATCTGAAAATTTGATTTCAAAGAAATGGAATAGATGAATATGATATTGGAACAGCAATAAAAAATTTTTTTGCTATACCAAGTATTATTTTATTGAATAGGTAACACAATAAATAATCGAGCCTATCTGAATTTTTATCTCTTATCGTACTTAACTACTTCAACATTGAATGATCATCTTTGACTTATTTATTATCATCATCATAAATAATCTTTATTTCTTGCTTATCAAGTTTGTTCAAAATTCACAAAAGTATACATCTAATGTTCGTCGTCGCTTACGTCGTCTTCGTCGTTTTTCATGCGGTTCCATTGAATTTATTACCATTGAATTATCCTGAAGTAAATGAATTTTTCACTAATATTAATTTTTAAAATTATATCTGGTTTTTTTTGTTAACAATTTCTTTTAATCTATGATTTTTTTTATTTTGTATTTTTTGGAATTCATTTTTTTAATATAAAATTAATTTTACCTCACTAAATAGCAAAGGTGATCCTTTTTCATCGTGAAAATTTTGTGAAATAATTGATGACAATTGTTCAGTACCAATTAAACCCATCCTGTCATCCGATGTTTGATTTTTGCCGTGTGCTCCTTTTGTTTGCATCGATTGCATTTTTAGATCAAACTGTTATGGTATTAATAACTTATATTTATCAAATTACAACTTATGATTAATCACCAAGCATGGATATCGTCAGAATGATAAGTGATGTCATTTCGTAAGATAACTTGCAAAATGGAAAAAAAAAGAAATGATTCCATAACGACAGCTTATTGCATTATTTAAATATTTTAATTAGTTAAACAATGAGTTGAATTTATAATCATATGCAGAACTTTCGAAATCAAACTAAGCAATTTTCATATTTTGAATAATACAAATATTTTTAGCAAACATAAGACATTGAACAAATTGGACGAAGAGAAAAAAGTGTGATTAGAAAAGGAAAATTCACCAAATAGAAGTAACGCTTTTTTTTTCTTTTTTACAATAATCCATTTATTTATGTTAGAAATTAGTTGCTAATCTTCTAAATTTAGCTTTTAAATTTTGACAGCGTAAAATTAATCAATAATCATGAATAGAGAGAGAGAGAGAGAGAGAGGGAAAGAAAGAATGAAAAGAAGAAAGAACAACTGGAAATATCTTTTTTTTTTCTCTATGTTAATCTATTTAGTTCATATGCAGTTGAGTACTAATTTTTAAATTTAATTTTTAAACCTCGAAAATACAAAATTAATTATAATAAATAGTTAAAATGAAAATTGGAAGAGAAAAAAATTTTTAAAAGAAGAAGAAAGAAAAAAGAACAATTTTTATTATTGTTAGCTGTTTAACAAATATGCAATGAGTTGATAGTTCGAAAGTTAAGAGCTGAAGAAGTATTTAATTGAATGACGACCAATGCTTTTGCTGAATCACACCGAACATTAGTTTAAATAAAAGTGAAGAATGAATGAATTGGAATGGAAAGGGAGAGAGAGAGAGGGAGAGGGGTGAAAGGAGGAAGAAAAGGTAGAAAGGATAGAAAGTAAGTTTAAAAAATTTACAGCGATAAGCAAAAACAAGTCTATAGTAATAAATCAGATATTGTGCAAAGAAATGATGCTGATATTCGTGCACTTTTTGCAAAATTAAAAACGTGAATGAATCAGATAGCTCGGGTACAGTGAATCTGATAATACAAATACAGTGAGCCCGATAACCCGAATAAAATTCAAAAACAATAGATCTGATAGTCCGTCTACCATTATTTAAATTACTGAAAACAAATGTGTTTCTCAAAATGCCGCTATTTTTATGCTTCTGTGTTGAAGTTAAATTTTAAATCAACATTATGTTTGTGTAAAAATTATTTGTTTTAATCATTGATAAATAGCAAAATATTTCACAAATAATACACTATGCTCTTGTTATCATACCAAAGATAAAAGATAAAAATGAAAAAAAAAAATTCTTCAGCTATTATAAAAATAATTTTTCTATTAAAAAAAAATCAAATATCTATTTACCACAATCCTTTTTATGCAACAAATTCAGTATTTCTGTAATTAAGCTTTGGTCTTTGTTTAGATTTAAAAAAGTAAATTTTACTTATTCATCTTTTTTGTTTCCTTACCTTTGCTGCTTTTTACGATAATTTTTCGTTCATTCACTTCGTGCTTTCACCCCATTTCATTTTTTTCTTTTTGTTTTTTTTTTAAAGTTCCAGTAGATGGTTTATATTCCATTTTGTTATGCTTCTTCCTTTTTTTTAAGGTGTCGTGAATTGCTATTGCAAAATTACTGATAAGTCTCAGATTATATCTTTAAACAAAAAAAAAAAATTATTAATTATTTTTATTACACACACTTTTTGTAATGTTCAAATTAAAGTATTGATATTGCTCTTTACATAGTGCTTTTTTATAATAATAGCTGTATTCATACTTTTTTCAAATATTTATACTTTATTCTTTTTAGGTATATATATTTATATTCACATTTATACTTATATTTATTTATTTATAGTCTTGAAATACTAGCGAAAATATTTCTATTATGTGTGTTTTTGCAAATTTAGGTTAAAATACTTATATTTGTTTACTTGTTTGTCGATTTAATTCTTTATGTTCTCATTTTTTTGTGAAATAATCTATGCTTGCATTTTTTTGCTAATTAACTTATTCGTTCATCTATCAGATATAATGTTTTATTTAATTCAAAGCATGCAAAGTGATAAGGATTGAAGTGAGCAAGCTAATAATAATAAGCTTTATGCATCATGCAGTGTCATTTTGAATTTGCAAAGGTGGTAATTTTGTCAAGTAAATCTGTTCTGCTTAATTAATTTTCATTTTTTCTGTTGATAGTTATGTCATTACATTTGAATTTTTTCTGATATGTTTGATTTTTATTTTTAACATTATCAATAAGTTTCCGTAATTCGCAAGTTGTTTTTAACTATTGAATTAAAATTTATAAATGTCAAAATTAGCAATTATTAAAATGAAATATTTTCGATTGTGCAAGTAATGCAATTCATACAACTTAGTTTTTATCAGTGTTTTTGCATAATATCAAAAACATAAACAAAATTAATTATTTTGGCATGTTTGAGCTTTTATACAAAATAATAATTGGAACTTACGTCAAATTATGAAAGGAAATAAGAAGCAACAAATAATGATTATTACTGTAATAAATTAGAATGAAGTAATAGATTCAATATTCAATATTTGACCTTTTTAAAATTGATTAAAGGAATTGATAATACGATATAATTTTATACAAAAATTTTATTTATTCCACTGACAACAATGCTCTAACTATCATTTGCTTTTCGACGTATTTGTAAAGCTTCATCGCTTTTTTTACGTTAATTAAACTACCATTCAAGCAAATTTAAAAAAGAGACAATGAATTTGAGAACAGTTGCAAAAATAAAATAACATTTAAATTTTCCATGGAAATAAAACCAAGTAAATTGCATTTTTTATATTTGGAGTTCTTTTTTAATTTATCAATATATTTTATTTCTTTTTAAGGCTGCGTTGTTGTGCTTAAATATATGTACCACGTCATTTGTAGCGTCCAACGAGCATATCATTTCTAGTTTAAATTAAAATGTTGATAAGAACTGAAAGAAAGTAATTAGTCAGAAATAAAACATCCGAGTAGCTTTAAAACAATAATGATGCAAGTGAATTCCGTGTAGTTGATTGATGATTTAAGCTTTTTATCAGCCTCATTAAATTAATCAGTTAGTTAGATTGAGTAGGACATTTAATAAATAGCGCACAGTTTTTTTTTTTTTGTTTATAGAGACCAAAGACGAGAATTTGAGCCTGTTTTTAAACTATTTTCTTTGATCCAAACAAATTGGCTTCTTACCTATACTCTTTTGCTAGAGAAACTAAACTATCAACGGTGAAAGATATAACTGATAAGTAGCAGCAATGGGCATTCTTGCGAAGTAATTATTGAAAAGCTTGAAAAAAGTTCTCAGGCTCATTGTCTAAATGAATTACTAAAAATTCGAATTTTGAAGTTGTCTTTAACTGATTGAATACTAAGACCAAATAATTTTTTTTTGTGACAATTTTTTTTCTTTGTAACGACATGATCAGCTATCAATGAACATGAGATGTAAGATTCTCGCTGTAAATTGAGAACAACTTGTAAGAAAGTATTACTAAATTCCATGAAAAATCAAAACCAACCGACAGAAATACCAAAGAAATTATTACTGTAAGTTGATGCAGAAGAAATAGCTAGTTTAAAAGTTGCACAGTAAGGTCAAATTGACAGTAATTAATTAGGGGTCAATAAAAGGGTTTGATTACTGAGAGTGTGGATGGTACTGGAAATGCAAATCAAATAATAATTTTATTTAGAATGAATAACAATCTTTCTTAGATATTAGATAGAATGAGAACAGTACACTGAAGTGACGAAATGTGAAGAAAAAAGTAAAAGTTTTGTTGAATACATTGGCTGTTCCTCATAAATCAATTAAATTTAATTAATGTTCTGATATTTGAATTTATGATTTTACAATTTAATGTAATCCGAATATTGTCGGATGTTGAAATTTTTCTGTGGCTCAGAATGTCATTTGTGAATTCCTTTTTCCCACATTTCCTCAATAATTTCGACATGCTTTCGGCCTGAAAATGGCGAGTTTCTCAGTTCATCTCCCACTTTGTTGGATGGACCGCACCCAAAAAGAAATAGCCATTTGATCCCATCGTGCAGCCGTTCCACTCTGACGATCAGTAAGATCGATATGGCATTGATGAATATTGCAATTGCAAAACTTGTGATTTCCTGCAATCACAGGACAGTATCACAGTGCGGTGACTGTTATTTTGACCGTAACTGAGAATCATAACGAAAGAGCTCAAAGCGATTTTAGTTGGAATGCATTCATTATATTAAAATTGTTTTTTCTGTCATATCAAATGGTAATGTTTCTTTTGAAGAAA